GCCACGGTTGTTTTAACTTTAGTGGAGAAAAGGGTCTTTAAACTGTGGATGAGAAATTGCTTCCAGGTTATCCTGCTCAGCTAACTACATGATAACTTAAGCTCCAGCTTTGAATTCTGCTCCTTTATTCTTTCCAGATGTGGAGGCTTTTGCTAAAGCCATGGAGACGGAGACAAAGTCTGATCAGGACGGCGACTCCAAAGACAAGAAAGACGACGATGAAGACATGAGTCTGGACTGAGCGCTCTTTTAAGAAATATTATTATTTAATGTATTTATTTTGCTGCTTAGCTACCGTTTTATTCCTGCCACACCTCAAGGGTAAAGATTGTGGTTGATGTAGTAGAAAGTGTGACTCCCAGCTGATAGTGCTGTGTTGAATTAATATCTACTGATGTAACTGGGTGAACATGTACTCCACCTGCATGTCAGCTACTAGCTTATCCTGTCCAAACATGAGGGAACAGTAAAAATAATAGAAACACTTGTTGTTAGTGTCTGACTGTTTTTGTTTTAGTAGCCAAGAAGACAAGTCAAACTTAATTTTTCAGTGTCTTAAAATATATTTTAAAAACATTCATTTTACAGAACAGTGTAAACACACAATGATTATCCAACAATTCGACAAGAACCGTACATTTTCTGCACATCGGTTATTTTGAACACTTTTTAAATTTAATCACATCAGGCAAACACAATAAACTGAATCACCATTAAGTAAGAAGACGGATTATCTTTCCCAGACAAGACCAACATTTAAAGATCAACCACAGAAAGACAAAGAAATGTCACTTCGATCATTAACAATTTCACTGCCGCTGTGATTTCAGGCACTTTTTGTCTGTACTTGTCCAAATTTGACGCGTTTCTACCGTCCGGTTCATCTATTCATGGAGTCACAATGAAAACACCACAATCTTCCAGTGATGATCGCTACGGCGTCTTTGGGTTTGACTTTACAAAAGATTAACGGCTCAGTCACACTAGAGTAAAATAGGTTGACAACCCTCCGATGTTCAACTTTTGGAGAGAGATTCGGCGCGCTACAGCCTCAACATCTGGGCCACCGCTTTCAACTGCAGGTCACCTTTTCTAAAGAAGCAAGTCTCTAAATTTAGACTCGCTCGAGGTTTGCAAATAATTCCTGTCTCACTGGTAAACACACAGACTGATTGCAACATGTTGGCAGAGTCCTTTTGCACCAGTGAGTGGAACAGGACACGCACATCACATCCTTTAAATCTACACGATCCTGGCTGGACTCTGAATTAAAAACAGTTCGTGTGAATTTTTGTGTAGATCCAACAGATGGCATCAGATTTGTGATTTTTGCCAATTTAATCACAGTTAATTCCCACATTATCACAAACTGATTGCATGTAATTGACATCATTCATTTGCTAACAGACTGCTTGCAACTCAAAGTTTCTTTGAAGACGGAAACTGAGTGGCTACAAGCGTGAAAAATGTCTTTGACGTAACGTTCTCAAGGTCATTTTACATAGTTTGTTCCAACCCTTTTTCCATAGTGTGACTGCACCATAAAAGAAAAGAAAAAGTAAGAATTCCTGAGAATTAAAAGATAACTAACCAGTGCATTTTACAAAACATATCCCTGGGTAATGACACGAAACAAAAACAACAAGAGGAAAAAAAAATGTTTACTATAAATAAGAAACTTCCATCATCCTGTTTCTCTGCATGTGACACCACAGCACAGTGGAAATACTGGATACAAGCACGACCAACACCAAAGTCAGAACACAGAGCTGCCACAGGAGTCTGATGTTATCTTACTATTTGTGGTAAATACGAGAGTTTGGCTGGATAATTGTGAGACATACAGTACAAATATCGAATGGACGTAAACAAATTAAAGGCCACTTCTCCCCGAAAAGATGTTTCCCACTTACGATCTACAGTGTCATGTTTCAGGCTCATTGCTAAAAATGCTTCAGTGTCACAGTGGGTTTACAAGGCATTCAAAAAAGAAAAAAGAAATCAGCGATATGTCTTTTACAGTAAATACTATACAGGCTGTATAGTAACAAGAAAGGTGCACATGAGTTTTTTCTTTTTCACAAACACACACACACACACACACACACACACACACACACACACATCACAGCGTACCTTTACATAGACGTTAAAACACGGTGGCATCCTAAAAACCCACAAGAAACCAAAATAAAAGCACCATTAATGTGCTCAGTGAACATCTCTAACATAGAGCTCATGACTGGATCAACATGAGAACGTCACACCTACAAAAAGACATTCAGGGAGAGAAACACATGCCATCAAGTCTGAGTGTAACCTAATTAATGTACAGTGACAATAAATAGTACCACAAGTATTTATTTTTAAACACCACAGCTTATAAACTGGTCGACACGCCGCACGTGTGCACGTCCTACTCCGCCACGTCCGGTCTAACCTTGCTGTACCAGCCTTCGGTAGTGCGGCATGACCTTGCTCTCGGGGAGATATAGTCCCATCTCCAAGGCAACCAGTACCGGGAACTCCAGAGGAATCAGTTCGCGTCTGTTTATGCGGAAACGCTCCTCCAGCTTCTGCTCGTCCATGGAGAGAAAAAACAGAGGAAGAAACAGGTGGTGATGATGATGATTTGTCCAGTTGCTTTGTCCATGCCAACAGTTGACTTAAATGATCTGTGATATCTTTTTCTTTTTTTTGTTATTAAATAGACCTGCACCATGAAGCAGGACTCCATATTATTAAGCTAACTTCAGGTTCAACCCTGAGTTTTCTTTAGTGTTATGAAGGTGGTTCATTGTCATGGTAACTTATTTTTGAGCATATTTTGTTCAACATAAGAGTTCAGCATGTATGAAACCACCAATTACTGACCAATCAGATCTCTAACAAACAGTTTGCGGACCTCAGTGCACAGCTTTAGATCTCTTTCTGTTGAGCATCAATCAAAAAACAGATTTATTCCTCGCCTTTCCTTCTGTTGGATGCATATTTTATAAGCATCGACACAGTGATGCGTTCCTAAAACAGTGACACTAAGACAGTTTCAGCACTGTTCTCTCAGATCAAATAGAAAGACAGGATTCAAACTAGCCTCCTTGAAAAATTCATATAAAAGGTCAGTAAGTGCAAGATTTAGTTGCCCTATTTCACAGTATTAAGGTTCACAGAAAGATAAAAGTTTTAAAATGACCTTCTGCTAACAGGAAAAATTAGGAGCCTATGTTTGAACTGAGGTCTGATCTTCCATGAAAGGCGACACCATTTTCCAAAGAACTTTTTGGCTGATAGGCGTAGATTTTGTACGTACTGATCTTGGGAATAACAGTAAGACATGAGCCAAACATGTAACACTGAGAACAGGGTTAAACCTAAAGTTACTTCAACAATTCTGCCTCCACAGTCGAGACTTAGTTTGCCGACTTTACACCAAATAAGGTTTTAAAACGTGTTGGGTTATTTGAGAGCAGTGCACGTTTCTTCATTTTTTTTAGTATAATGGCACTACATGCCTGTTATTACACCAAACCAGTGAAAAAGTTCTTGGGTCCAGCTGACTGGACCCGCAGGCCCGTTCACCACCTGTGAAATAAATGTAGTGAACTGAACCTTCACTAATGATTAGTTTCTTCTTACAGTTAAAAATGACAATAAAAGTCATAACACTGATGTTTTCAGCTGCTATCCACAGCTAGCTTACATTAATAAAAAGTTAAACTGAAAGCTGCCAGTATGCAGACCACGATTATCACAGTTGACTTAAAACTCGCTATTATAAAACATTTTTGTTAACTCAAATGAAAATTAAGAGTTTAGAAAAACTAAGTGAAAGAAAATCTACAGGTTTTAATCTTTTTTGAGACTGCAGACGTTCTGCAGAGCTGAGTTTATATTATTGTAAAAACTGCTCTGTTTCTCCCAACTGTTGGCCCTGAAGAATACACGGCATTATATGACTGTGGGTCAGTTAAAGTCTGGTTTTAGCACTACACTGCACACTAGTTACCGCTCTCGTATGAGCGCGAAGAGAAAGGTAGGTAGTTACATTTAAACACATCCTGTTTTGTTTTCTGAGTGGAAACTTTACTCACATCAATCAGCTGTTTAACTTCTGGCTTTCTCAGATCGCTGCTGATCTT